AAATGGCCAATACCAGTCTGTTTCAGCTCACTAATGCTTAGGATATGGATTTTTATGCATTCAGGTTTTGATGATGTAGAATTTTCCTAGATTCCTATGTCGTACATTCCAAATTCCAATTATTATTGAATGTTTTCAGCTTTCCTTCTCGTTTTGCGTCCTGTCCCCTCAGCAAATGAAGATCCTGAAGGCTTTACTCCCACAGGCTTTGCTCCACCCGAGTCACCGTGGCCGACTCCACTCTGAGAAGGCAGCTCTTCCTCGGTCATATTTTGAGTGCCTTCAGACCGGAGGGGCTCGTGCTCTGGCGCCATCTCGGACAATGTTCTGCTTCTAGGCATGAGATTTTCAGTGTCTGACAACGTTTCAGTGATATCCATAGGTTTTTCAGCGGCTAATTCTTCTGAAGTGGACAGCCTATTTCTTCTTTGTAGTCTGTTCTTAGTCTCGAAGCTCTACTGAAACCTGTTCCCTTTGTGTGGCCCTGCTGATATCTGAAATACCAATGGCATAGCTTCCAGCACCACAGCAACACACACACCACCACAGTATGACAGACAAGTGTGGATCGAAGGACACAAACCAACCACCCAACAAACATCCAAACTTCCCTGCCATCAAATCGGTTCCAACTCATAGTGACCCTATAGGACAGGACAGAATGGGCCCTGTGGGTTTCTGAGACTGTAAGTAACTTTCTGAGGGTAGAAAGCCTCATCTTTCTCCCAAAGAGGGGCCAGTGGTCTCAAACTGCTGACCTTTCGGTTAGGAACCCAATGGATAACCAAGGCTCTTTTTGAAGGGCACAGACATGTAAACTATTGAACGATGCAGGAAGCATCAAAAGAAGATGGAAGGAATACACATTCTCCGTACCAGAAACGATTGGTTGAGGCTCACCCATTTAACAGATAGCATATGATTGAGAAGTCGATGGCACTGAATGAAGCATGGAACGCACTGGTGAAAAACAAGACTCCCATCGCAACAGACAGAATCTCAAGTGAGATAGTTCAACAGATGGGTGCAATCCTGGAAGCACTCACTGGTCTACGCCAGGACATTTGGAAGACAGCTACTCAGCCAACTGACTGGAAGAGATCCACATTTGTGCTCATTTGAAAGAAAGGTGATCCAATGAATGCAGAAATCATCAATGACATTAATATCACATGTAAGTAGGGACGGTGAGTAAACTGTTTAAGCTGAAGCCCATCTGCACAAGCTCAAAAACAACCTCCGTAACTACATCCTCTCTTGGTTAAGAAACAGATATGTTCTCTAGGAGATGTTTCTTCCAGGAGCAAGTAGCTGACATTCCTCTTGGAGAAACTGTCCTTCAGAGAGAGGGAGCTGGCCATGAGAGAGGTGCCTACCTCTCTGAACAAAGGAACTCTTGTCAAGGAACCAGAATTCACCGGAACTATATATACCATTTCAGGCTGTCTGCTTCCAAGGGGAGGAGTCTGAGGCTAAATTCATGACAAGACTTAGCCCATCTCCTTATGAATAATGCACGACTCCTTGTGCATATGTGGAACTTTCCCCAGACATCTTATGAATATGTACCACTTCTTTGTTGTTAACTTTCTTATTAAAAACTCCCTCCTCACCTCTTGGGGAGGCTGTCTTTTTTGTTTTCTTCTGGAAGCAATTCTCACTGCCTCCTTGCTAGCAAGAAATAAATCTGTTTATGAGTGCTTTTTATAGCCTAAGGTAATTTTCTCATGTGCATATGAAAGATGGACAATGAATAAGGAAGACTGGAGAAGACAGGTGAGTTTTAGTCTGGGTTGACTGGAGAAACAAATCCATACACGTCAATATATATGTAAGAGACCATTCTTTATCCAAGAGTAATTGTCTATTAAGAAAACATCCCAGCCCAGTCCAGACCAAGTCCATAAATCCAATATTAGCCCATATGTCCGATACCAGCCTATACATTCCTCTTCAGACTCATGCAACACATGCAATGACACTGAGTGCAGGAAGATCATAGACCAGTGGGTGGAAAGTCTTGTGGATCCAGTGGTAGCGTCGGTCTCCATGTGGCTCCTCCAGCTCCAGGGCTGTGACTCCAACAGCTTAGCTCCATGTGGATTGTCAACAGGAATGTCTCCCAGGGAGAGTGTGTGTCCCACCTCCAGGGAAGACGACCGGAGTTCCCAGAATCCTCATGAGAAGGCCATGCCCACAAAGAGGTCTCATTGGCAATGACCTGATCAATAGGCTAGACTCCACCCCTCCACTCAAGTTGCCAGGAGATTATGTCACTGCCACAATGTGTTTGTATGTTAAATACATGCTGGTCTGCCAGAAAAAATGAACAAGTCTCTCTCAGAAGTAGTACAACTAGAATGCTTCTTGGGCTCAAAGATGGCCAGACTTCATCTTATGTACTTTGAACATGTTCTCAGAAGGGACCAAGTCCCTGGAGAAGGACAACAGGCTTGGTGACGGAGGGTCAGGGAAAAGGAGAGCACCCCTCACTGAGATGGACTGTCCCAGGGTTGCAACAACAACTGTGAAGATGGGGCAGGACCAGGCAGTGTTTCATTCTGATGTGCACAGGGTCTCTACGAGGCAGGCCATACCAATAACGCCCCGAGTTGGGTGGGAAAGGGGAGCTGATATCAAGGAGTTCAAGAAGAAAGAGAATGTTTTGAAACAGACTGTGGTAGCAATTGTACAATACAGCTTGATGTGACTGAATATGGAACGATAGGATATCTGTATTAACTGCCAATAAAAAGGTCTTTGGGGAAAAACACCCAAGTAACAAAAGAAAGGACAACAAAATTGTTACATAGAATCTTTCTACATTGAAATGCAACATACTTACAACATTGTTAGTCACTAAGTGGAAGCCTTTGAAACCAGTTCCTTTAATTAAGGAGCTCTGGCAGTACAGGAGGTTAAGCAATGGGCTGCTAAATACAAGGTTAGTAGTTCAACCACACTCGCTGCCTGGGGGAGAAAGATCCAGGAGTCTACTTCCATAAGGATCTGGTCTGGGAACCCCCAGGGGCAGGTCTATCCTGTTGAGAAGAGGACGGATGGATTCGATGAGAGTGGCTTTTCATTTGGTGGCATACTAGGGACCTGGGGGTGCAGTGCTGAAACATCTAGCGGCTAACGGCAGTTTGAATCCATCATCTGTTCTATAAGAGGAAGATGTAACTTTGGTAAAAGCTTAGAAACTCAGTTCTACGCTGTCCTGTAGAGCTGCTATCAGATGGAATGGACTAGGCTGCCATGGAATTGGTTTGGATTGGTGCCACAGTGGTTAAGTGCTCAGCCGCTAACCCAGTGATCAGTGGTTCAAACCCCTCAGCTGCTCCAGGGGAGAAAGATGTGGCAGGCTACATCCTGAGAGATGCCCAAGCTAACATCATCCACCCTGATTAAGTTCATTCCCATTCAAAAGCCCATAGAGCAGTGGTTCTCAGCCTTCCTAATGCCTCAACCCTTTAATACAGTTCCTCATGTGGTGGTGACCGCCCCCATCATAAATTTATTTTCATTGCTACTTTATCACTGTCATTTTGTTAGTTATGAATCGGGGGACCCCTGTGAAAGGGTCGTTTGAGTCCCAAAGGGTTCACAACCCACAGGTTGAGAACTGCTGCCATCGGGTGTCTAAATCCTTGAAGCTGACTGCTATGTGGCTTTTCTCCTGTGGAGTGTCTGCTGGGTTCAAACTGCGACCCTCAGGTTAACAGCCAAGCAAGGGTGCCATCAGGACACCCTTGGTAAAGATACAGTCTTGGAAACCCTGGGGGTGGGCTTCTATTCTTTCTTATGGGTTTCTATGAATAGAATCAACGGGGTAGCAGTGGGTTTCCTTTAATTACGACTACTACTAATAATCGTCCTAAAAATTGTTGCTAGGTTCATGAACACTACTAACCACAATCGTGTAGCTAAAGGACCAGAAAACTTGACAAAATCAGTGACAATTAGCAGCAAGAAAGACCACAGTTTGTAGGTGTGGGGTCCACACCACCGATCAACCCTACGTTCCTCGGAGCAGCCTTGTCACTTGAGGGCAGAGGTTAAAGTGCTTCCTGGCTAATTAAAGAGGGCATGCCCCAGGGAGAGAGATGTGGCACTTTGCTTTCCAAATCAGATTGCCAGCCTTGGAAAGTCTGTTGGATCAACATGAGTTGGGATCCACTAGAGAGCAGCTGGTTTGGCTGAGTTTACCCTGGTAGGTACCAGTATAATGACACGTGGACACTGTGCTTAAGAAAAATTATTTTTCTGATATGAATAACCACGGGAATATTTTTAAATAAAAATTAATAAACTCCTACTGAAACACGCGACAGGCCATTTTACAGGCATTTTGTTATCAGCACTTCGGACAGAGCCCCTCCGAGGTCAATGCGCTCTTCCTCCCCACCCTCTGCTCCAGCCATTCCTCAGGGTCCATTCATAAGTGGTTGCACATAATTAATTAAAAAACCAAACAAACCAATAACGGACTCATAGCGACATTATAAGAGCTATTACTAGATTATACACATACACTTGAAAAATGTTGACTTGGCAAGTGTTTGATAGATAGATATAAATCTAACATGTTTTAGTAGATTTATATTATGTAACACTTAAACATATTATGTTTACAGCAATTAAGACAAAAAGCTTTGTTGTGTCAACTCTTGACTGCGGCACCGCGGCCCCTAGAACCCAGGCGCCTCTCCCAGGCTGCTTTGGTCTTTGCCTGGCGGCTTTTCAGTCCCGGCCGGGAGGACGCCCTCCAGTCTTTTTTTGTTATTGTCGGAGGTTATCGGTCCGTCAGAGCCCTCCCCTTTAAGGCTTGGCTCCCCGGAAGTGGTAATGCTCCGGCGCCGAACCGGAAGTGGACGCGGCCGGCGGAGGGGCGGCAGCGGCGGCGCGGCCGGCTCAGAGCTGCCTCGCGGGCCCGGCGGGCGTCGCTGTCGCGGCCGGCGGCGCCGCTCAGGCTCGAGCTGGGCCTGGCGCGGCCTCGGGGTTGCCCATGGGGCGCGGGGGGCCGGGCCGGTGACGCCGGACGCCCATGGACGCTCCTGAGGAGCCGCTGCCGCCGGTGATCTACACCATGGAGAACAAGCCCATCGTCACCTGTGAGTGTCGGGCTGGCGCCGGAGCGGGAGGTGGCCGTTGCGCCAGGAACCCGGGACCCTCGCCCCACATCCCTTCCTTCGGCCCCCAGCAGCCGGTGCGCGCGCTCTGGCGGAGCCGCTTCCTGGAGGTGTGGCCAGGGCGGTGGCTGTGGTGGCGACCTCCGACCCTACTGGGGCGACCTCCGACCCCCCAGTAGGTACGGTCAGTGGGGCGTTTTAAGTGCAGTCTTAACACCGAGCGCACATTACGCCCTGACCCCGCGTGACCTCTGACCCCGCCCCGGGTGAACGCGGACTCTCCAACTAGGCCCCTGTGGACGTTTCGGTTCAGTTTGCCACCGAGGGTAAAATTCGCTCCTGTTTCGCCGTGGACGCTCCCGTGCAGCCAGCACTGAGGGCGAGCCCCGTGGGGCCCAGCAGGTCTCCGGGTGACCGAAGGGGGCCGGTTTACATTTGTAAACTTCAGTAGGGCTGTCCCTCCTCCTGACCCCTGTGTTCGCCTTGGGAAGGCCCCCATGGTTTTCAGAATTGCAGGCGTTTTGCATGAATTTATTCTACTGGAAAGCATACACTTGTACTTCAATAAAGTGTTCAATACAGCCGGGCCCAGGCTGTCGGCTTGGTAAACTGTACTTTGAGAAGGACATCTCTTCCTGATGGGGGGCTTATTGCCGAGCCTGGGATGTGTTATCTAATTGAGTCGTCGGCGCAGCAGTTTTACAGCCGAGAAAACCCCATTTTGCAGGTGAGAAAACCGATGGTTAGGAGAGCTGCTCTCATCGAAAACCCTCCAACTTGCCTCTTGACCACCCAGTTGCCGCTTTGATGATTTGAGCATTGACTCCCCACACATTAGCTTTCAATTTAGTTTTCCACCAACTCTTTGAAGGCCCCTGGCACATACATACACAAGAGAGCGTTTTCCTCAAAGTTTTACAAACATGACTTCAGAATGCAATACCTTTTCAAGCGCTCAGCTTGTGGGACGTGTTGAAATGTGAACCGGCATGTTGATGACTTGCAGAGAGGTATTTCAAGGTAAGGATTTTTGGCCTTCAACGGCACTCTGTATCATCACAAACTTAGAGACTTTAGTTTTGCAAACGGGCTTCTGGGCTTGGAGAGGAAGCACTTTTTCTATAGCAAAGTCAGGGCACTAGGCTGTAGGAGCACTCTGTTTTCTCTGATCAATGACCATAAGCTATGTGCTTTTTCTTGTCATATCCCTGAGAAGTTACTATATTAAGGTTTTGAGGTGGTTGCTTCATCATTAGATGGTGAATTTTCTTAGGGAATGAACTGTGCCTTATCTAATTTTGGGGAACTTGAACAGTTCAGCAATAGCTGGCTATTTCTTTTACCCTGAGGATGTTTGTCAGCTGGGCGGCTTACCCAAGAGCCTGCCCCTTCAGTCTGAGAGGACAAGGACAGCTGTCTGTAGAGATGGTCGGAGGGGCTGCCATTTCAGAGTGCTTTCTGAATCCTGGGAACGGTGAAGCCCTACTCAGAGCCCCAATGCAAAAGCCTTCCAGATCATGGGAATCTCAAAATGTCATGTGCATGGTGACGCTGGGTACAAATTTACTGCTGACCCTGCATCCACCTATCTGATTATCTCACAGAACCCTTGGCTTGCATCTTAATTACAGTGTTTCTCGGTAGGCATTGTGTAAATACATTTCTGAAGAGGAAGTTCTATAGTTGTATTGGATCCAGTCATGCTGAATGGGTAGAATTTGTTACTCTGGTAATCAGTGTGAAATACTATGTTTCAAGTCCACCCACACACCTCTGACTGACAAATAGGGACGCAGTTACCTTTCCCTACAGATTTATTAGAACACCATATAATGGTGAAGGTTTCCTCGCTGTTTTTCAAGTAAAATGAGCAAGTGTCTGCACTGACATTACAACTTTTCATTCTCTAGGGTTCAGAAAAGAAAGTGGCTTTAGTCAGTGTTCAGAGAAAGTAAACTTGAAATCTAAGACGGACCTTTAAAAGCAGAGATCCTTTTTGAACGGTCAGAAAGGCTCCCTGCAGTCCCCGCTGGAAATGACCTTTTGGTTGGTCTGGAGCTGAAGGTTTGGCCAGCGCTGTTATCCAGCTTTCACTGCAAACTACCTGTGCCTTGTTTCCCACGTTCAGCTCCGTCTTTCCGAGGGAGAAGCTAATGGAACCCATCTAGACAAAGGTAGTAGGAAAACTGCTCAGGAAATCCATCCAGCGACCAGTTGACTGTATATGCCTTTTATTTTATGCGCTTAGTTTTCACGTTAGCATATCAGGGCTTTGTTTCAAGGCCGTTTCAGCCATTTTTTTGAAACGTTGCCACAGATCTTGAGTATTTATGTGGCCACAGCACTCTTATGCCTGTCTTTTGTTCATTTTAAAAATGAAAATAGACTTCATATTTGTTTTCAGATTTATTTCATAGAATTTAGAACATTTTGCTTTCGTGAAAGGGAAGCCTATGTTAAACCTTTCTGAGAAATGCACACAGTCCCCAGTTTAGGATGGGTTCTGTTCTAAAGGCCGTGTGCCAAGTCAGTTCTGATATAAGTTGAATACTTCACTTTTCCTTAGTTTTCAATAGTATCGCCTGGCTGGTGCAAACAGTTCGTTCTTGACAGCTTACAGGAAGGTTTGATGTGGGAGTTCATTCAGAGGTGCCTTGGAAGGAAAAAAATCCCCAAAACGCAGCCATGGAAAACCCTGTGGAGCACAGTTCTATTTTCCCCCCCTCTCTCTCTCTCTCTCTCACACACACACACACACACACACACACACACACGGCCATCATGACTTGGAGATGACTCAACAGCAACTGCCTTAATCGTTTAGGTAATTTAGGAACTATTCATGTGTGAACCTGAGAAGATTGGGAAATTCCCAGAGAAAGTCCAATAGATTAGTACTTGAAAATGTTGCTGAATTATTTTAATCCTATTTTGGAGCTGCTTAAACTTTTTAATGGGTGTTTGTCCATAATCAGAAGTTTCTTAGCCTCCATTTTGCCTAGATGTCTCCACTTTAGGTAGACTTGTTACCTCAATAGCGATTTGCACAAATCTAAGAGTTTAAAGTTTGTAAATACTGAAGAGTTTATCTGAAGTGCACAGAGATTTCAGCTGAATAGTTAGAGATCCGTATACTCCTGTGAGGTTGGGTGACGAATTGCCTCGTTACAGCGATTTGAATACCGATAGTATAATTTATTAATCATGAACAGTGCCAGTAAAACTGAAACAAATCCAGCTGATCCATTTGATCTCAATTTAAATTTTAATTGTCAGTTCTCTGCCTTAGCATAGAAACTTAGGTCCAAGGATGTATTAGGAATTCCTTTTACAGCTGTCTTGTCAGTAGACACAGTGAATATCATTTCATTTATTTGTGTCTTTTCTTTGCTGCTTGGCATCACACCCCAATGTATATGGTTGTTGTTAGTTGCTGTTGAATTGACCCCGATCATGACAATCTCATGCACAACAGGACAAAAACATTGCCCTGTCCTAACCACCCCCAGGATTGGTTGTGGGTTGGACCCTTATGATCCCCAGAAGGCTCATAGGATGATTTTTGCTTTCTTTCTAGTCCCTCTTAGTCTCAAAGCTTCATCTGAACTCTGTGCAGGGATCTTAACAAGCAGTCCGTTTCCACTGGTACACTGTGTGCTGGCTGCTCACAGGCATGGTGGCCAGGAATTGAGCCCAGGTCTCCTGCATAGAAGTTGAAAATTCTATCCTTGTGCCCTTGTGGATGTGGATAGTATCTGAAAATAACCAGTGCTCTTGAGCCAAGCGATCTCTTTTTCCAGTCACATCTTATATTACCTCTTTTGTTTTTAGAATCTCTGTTTGTTTTCCAGGTCTGATGTTGTATGCTTTGGGGATGTGTTGGGGATGGCTAGGGGATAACTAAAAGGAGTGAGTCTAATCCTGTGTACCTGGTTGGAGTGATTGTTGTTTCTTGAATGTTAGAGCTTTAAATTACTTCTATTTCAATTTTTAATCAAATCTGAAAATATGAGTCTGGAACTTGTGGTTTAATCACTTTATCAGTAAACCCACTGCTGTCCAGTTGATTCCAACACATAGTGATCCTTATAGACCAGAGCAGACTGCTTGATAGGGTTTGTGAGACTGAATCTTTATGAGAGCAAACAGCCTTCCCCCCTCTCCCCCTTTATGTGTGACCATAAAAACAAGCAAACAATCTCACTGCCATCAAGTTGATTTGGACTCATAATGACCCTACACTGTATTGGGTGTCCCAGGAGGTAAAATCTTGATGGGAGCCGGTCTCTAGTGGCTGGGGGATTTGAACCACCAACCTAGTGGTTACAGTCTAGCATTGACCTGACAGCACCACCAGGCTGCTTGTGTGTGACCATGGCATTATGTAACCAGTGTCCTCATCTGTGGCTCAGAGTGATTGCTGTATGAATCACTTAGGGCTGGTACAAGGGTAAGAGGGTAAAACACTGGGAAGAGTGTCTGTAGCTATTGAAAACGACTGGTGATTCAACACACAAAACCCAGCTACTTAAGAATGAAGAAAATGCTCCTAACTGATTGTAATGATGACTGTACAACTCTTCTTGGTGTGATTGAACTGTTGATTTTTATGATATGTGAATTAGATGTCAAACTGTTGGGAGAAAAAACAACTTAGCTACTAATGAAAATTCCTAAACTCCCTTTTTACTGTGTCTTCAGTGTCCAGTAGTCTTGTCACAGTGCCCTTAAGCCTAACCACCAGAAGAAAGGGAAGGCTTTCTGCTGTGAAGAGTTATAGTCTTGGGAACCATCGGGGGCAGTTGCACCGTGTCCTACAAGGGCCGCTGGGAGCAGACATTGACTCGATGGCAGTGAGGTATTTTGGTTTTAGGCCCAAAAGAATCAGTAGTCCCTGACTGATGAACCACTCCTAGGAATGTTTTGTTGTCTTTTTTAATACACCTTATTGTTAGTAATGTGTACTATCCTATGCTAAGACA